GATGGAAAACTCTACAGACTGTCGGTTCACACCCCATCACAAGCCAGCAAAACACCCACTAAACAAAGAAAGGTCTGTCACAGCCAAAAAATACACTCCAGACACGCCGCTGGCACTAGAGACACAGCATTGCCGCATAATTTTAAATTAAAATTTTTATTTTAAATTTGGTAAAGAATTTCGATGTGACCTTGAGGGAAAAGTTGTTCAGTTTCTTTTTCTGCATAACATAGTTTTTTTCCGGATTTTCTGGATTCTTTTTTTTTTTTTTTTTGGGCTGGGACCTTCCCTGGTCCTTGCACGGCCGGGCCGCCCTGGAAAATAGGGTGACCCGGGCGGCCCGGCTGGTAGACTAGATTCTATTCGATTTTTTTTGAATTTTTTAAAAACTCGAATACAACGCATATGCGTTATGCTCGGGGGAAGAAGGTACCATGCATGGAAGGGGGCACAGTTACCCTTACCAAGACCCACTCGAGGGGGCGAACGGACGACTATCTCAGGTGGTGTGAGCCGATGAAATGTAGCGCAGGGATCGTGGGGAAGCAAAACGGATGACGTGGAGAATCCAACCGACGACCTCTTGAATAGCACTTCCCTGCTTCCGAAAAAAAGAAAAAAACAATAATAATAAAAATAATAATAATCAAAAGTTACTGGAACTGAGAGCCATGTAACTTGTGTCATTAAACCTGGCGGCATTCCAACAAGATGAAAGAAATACAACAGAGGAAATATAAGTGACAAGCTCGAAGGACATATGAGATACTTCCTAGCCGCATACAGAAATAATTCATGACCATTCGATCAACACACTTCCACGGCCTCTCTCTATCACCAAAAAAAAAAAAACACCACCTGTGAAAAGCATGTCCGTCCTTACTGTTAGGACAGAAAAAAAGATACGCCTTTTTCCTCTGACATTGAGCAAGAAATCATTTTCACACTTTCGGCGATTCTCCACTGGATGCGACTGCATGCCTTCACTTTTTTTCATCTTTCATCTGATTGCATCGAGATTTGAACTCACTTTTTCTCATCTGATTGCATCGAGATTTGAACTCACGATTCGCCTGTGCCATTCAGCCATGCGCCAAGTCCCACGTGTCTCACTTTTTCTCTCTTGTTCTTCCCTTTTTGTCATGCAAAGCAAAAGTTACTGGAATCGAGCACAGGATTTGAGCTCGTGTCAACAGTCGCAGATAAGTATGCACCAATTTCCAGCCACTAAGCAGCTCCTCCTCCTCCTCCTCCTCCTCCTCCTCCTTCTTCTTCCTCCTTGATAAGAACGCATCTTTAGACAGCAAGCGTTCGCCTCAAAGATAGCTGATACTATTTATTTTTGCCACTCCTGCTTTCATCGTCACACGATGAGGGCAGCGCAAACTGCTTAGAGGGCAACGAGCAAACATCCAAAATGGGGACAGAGAGCGG